GAGGTATATAATGGTACATAGGTGTAGAGTAGGTGCACAGTAGTTAGTCAACATACATGGCGCAACAGCTGTCACCTTACAACAGAAACCGTAACACATGTCAGAGTACACGCGATCAATTTTGTACCCTACAGTACGATATTTTTTCTGTCTTCACTCGAACCTTTAGGGAATAACATAAATATCGATAAAGTACATTTTGCACTACGGACATTAATAAATTCCACTTTTTTAAAATTTAACTTCAATTTTATTATCACACTTACAATAGAAATGGTGATATAGAAATTTGAACTTGTTTTAAACTTACTCCATAATGATGCTATCAAAGTATTCGGTACTTGTCTAGAGTTTGTAAATGTACTATTACAATATAATGTTATTTTTATTCAGGATTTAATACTGCCAACATGTAGTAATGTATTTATTAGGTAAACATGTAAACCAGCATACTGTATAGTTTGTAATCAATTAGATAAAGTATATTCCTTTATGTTGCAGATTATGTAACAATGCTATTTATGTGTGGGCACTTCTTTATGAAATTATCTTTAAATTAACTGCAATGGAGACTACTTGCTGTGTTGAGCTCTTTTCAATTAATTATTATGTCGTTTATATCAAACACGAATTATAGAGATATACTATATTAATGTGTTTATCTCTTCTCTTTTCCGTATTTTTTTTCCTATTCAAATCTTACCAAACCTACATTCGAGATAGTAACCTTCTGACTGAATATAACAATAAATGATTGTGTGTGGGGTGATGAGGTGAATTTTTCTACATATCATGTATCCCTCCATGCATATGTATCTTGCACCCCTCATCGGTGCCGATAATTTGTACCCCATCTTTTTGTTGTACATATAGACTGAAGTTAATGACATTCAGATCTATATATTATATAACAACAGTGATTGATATTATGGTTGTATTTGAAATGTTCCTGTCATTTAATAAATGACCATTTGACAACATTTCTTTTCCCTGTTGTTTTTGTTTATAAGACATGTACAACAAATAACAAGCTGCAGTCTCTGAGCTGGGTTACCATGCTAACAGAAATGAAATTTATTTCATGAAATAAATACATTTGTGTTAGATGGTTACTTTATATATTCATGTATATATATGCATAATTGTCATAATCCTACAGATGTTCTTCACATTATAATGTGATGTAAGTACGCTCTTGTATGATTTTGTTAGTTGGAATAAGATCTTGAACTCTGACCACCTGGTGACCATCTGTTACCCTATGTAGTTTGTATCTCTTGTTATTTGGATGTTATGTGTGCGCACGTGTTAGCAGCGAGGGCCGTGTAGGGCAACTCGCTATGCGGTCACGGTTTTAGCTTGACCAGTCAAAGGGGCTGTTCACGTTACCAGCGGCAATAGCCGTAATGCTAGGCGGTCAGGGCCTGGATTGACCAATCAGCGAGGCGCGCACCTCTTCGTGATTATCTTCGCGTCATATCTTCATCACTCCTCATAATTATTCTGCTGCTGTGATTACGTTTAATATCTTTCGAAGTCCCACCCATACCACACTCCCACATTTTATCTTGAGCCAGCTTATATATCCATGAGTTTTTTTTGTTTTTGTTTTTATTCAAACTTATGTTTGTATGCTTTTGTTGGTTTTTTGTTTATAAGACATGTACAACAAATAACAAGCTGCAGTCTCTGAGCTGGGTTACCATGCTAACACAAATGATTATGTGTTTATATTTTGCGTCGAGATTCATTGTTTTAAATCTAAACAATATCTGGTCATAAAATTAATGACATTTTCTATGTTTTTGTAGCTTATGTTCAATCTGAGACGAACATTGTTTAGAAATATTATGGGAGCAAAACCATGGCCTGATCCAACCGTTTGAATAAAAGATTATTAAAACATTATAATGATATCGCGTTAAAAATTTGGAAAAAAGAATTAATACATAGTAATTAAAATGATCATTTTTGGCTTGAAAACCAAAAGGGTATTTGAACTTGTAATACAATGTCCCCAACACCATGTAAAGATTACATGATAGCTAATGTCTTTTGTCAGATAATGGAAATAGTTCTAATCTATATAGACAGAGACAGTTGTGTATACAGTGTAAATGAAGACCTAATAGTGCAGGTCTCGGTTTTATATTTTGCCATCTAATATATCAGTTGCATGAGTGGGATGCGAAAACATACACTTTGGTGTAAACAGCTGAGAATGCATTGTAAGACTTAGCAGCACGTGTCTCGACTTGTGACGTGTTTGACCTAGATACTGTTGTTGTTTACACCCGTTCTGTAATGATGTAGATTTAGAAACGCGATCCCTTTGTATTAATAAAACAGTGTGTGTTCTCTAAAGATATGTGGACAATCATACATAAAAAATTATATATATTTACGGTTAACGTCTTGAAATCTTCCTTTTTGTACATAAAGAACATTTTTATTATCAACACAAGACCCACAAATTATAAGTGTTACATTAAATACGAGTGTTTATTTTGAAGTGACCATGTTTGTTTACTACCACGTTTGTGAGATTCTCTAAAGTAGGTCATTGTCGAAGTCAACTTAGGTCACTGTGTCCTTTGTATAAACAGGACAAGGAGACATTAACCTTCTCGGCTTTAATTTATGTTTTCGTTTGAAAGTCAAATAAGCAAACACATACTCCTGATGCAGTATAAACTTATAAACATGACACAAATACCCCTTTATACATATCGAGAAACTTTATGCTCGGCCAAGGCACAACTTTATAATATGTAAAATACAACAGATCTTTAATCGGATCAACATTAAAACATGGAACTGTTCTCTCGTTTACCATCAACTCCTATTATATCTGTTTTCCCTAGTGTTAAAAAATATTGTATACTGAAAGGATAAAGAAACGCAGGGTAATATTTATTCCGATATTTTGAAAACGCGTTCTCCAAATAAAGTGAAACTTTGTGGATTGAGTAATTAGGTCATGTTACACCTTGTCATGTATCGAAAATTTAGTCACGGTACAGTGCGCAGTTCTGGTAAATGGAGAAAGGAAAAAACAAGAATCTCGTGCACCGTGTTGTTCTGGTCTCATGCAGCGTTGGTCAAGTCACTATTCGTTAGTCTTTATACAGACCAACTGCTTCCCTAAAATTAATTGAGAATTTGATTCGTTTTAAGAATGGCACGACACACAGAAGTTCAGAGTGGTCAGGCCATTCAGATGCTGATGCAAGGACAGCTGCAAAATCAGGTTGTTAGGCACTTTGGTGTTAATGTTTCCACCATAGAACGTCTTGTAAGACGTCTTCGGGAAACTGGGCGATTGGCCAATCGACCTAGGTCAGGACGTCCGCGCGTAACGTCACGACGTCAGGTTCGCGATATCGTCGTCACTCATGTGCGTAATCGGCGCCTTACTGCCGTTGAGAGTGCACTTAATGTTCGTGGAAATCATTGACGTCCTATAACTTCAAAAACTGTAAGGAATCGATTACGTGAAGTTGGTGTAAGAACACGTCGCTCCTGCGTAGGTCCACACCTTACCCCTGTTCGACGTCAGCGTCGTATGCCCTGGGTCGCTGCACATGCTCCACGACGGTTTCCACTGAGGCAGTGGAGACAAGTTTTCTTCACGGACGAGTCTCGATTCTGTCTTTATCGATCTGACGGCCATCAACGTGTCTACCGACGTCGTGGCGAACGTTTTACGGACGCTTACGTTGTAGAGAGGGATAGGTTTGGGGCGGATCAGTAATAGTGTGGGGAGGAATCTCACACGGAATAAAATATCACAATTGGTTGTTATTGATGGCAATTTAACAGCAGCTAAGTATGGAGATGAGATCCTCCGAACCCATGTTATCCCTTTCTTAGAGCAGCATAATCTAACCCTCCAGCAGGATAATGCTAGGCCCCACGTAGCAAGGATTTGTCTTTCTGGCCAACAACAACATTCAACCACTAGATTGGCCGCCATATAGCCCTGATTTGTCCCCGAACGAGCATCTTTGGGACCAGTTGGATAGACAGGTTCGAAAGCGCCAGCCACCGCCTGCTACTCGAGAGCAGTTGACCAGAGCTCTGATTGAAGAGTGGGACAACATCCCCATAAGACGGATTAACGCTCTCATGAACTCTATGACCAGAAGAATAAGGGCCGTGACCACAGCAAACGGCGGACACACAAGATATTGATGACTCAGTTCAATTTCAATTTCAAATTCCTATGGGTCCATTCAATTTAATCGTTAGTACCTCTAAACCAATTGTCAGATGCAACATACAGACTTTGGAAATTTTTAAGCTTTAATTTATCTGTAAGTATACAAAATTTCGTTTTAAATGAAGCCCGATATCATACTTAATTTCTGGTTTAAAATTCACCCTGCGTTTCTTTTAGTATATAATGAAAGGATATAGTTTAACCTTACATAAACGTCACAGCAACTGTTTTATGATAACAGTTTAGAAGAAGCACTTGGACTGTGATATTGTGTGGATACTTTGTAAGATATACACATCAACAAAATCATGAAAAAGCGCTTCTAATAAAATATTGATATGAAATATAAACTTACAACTTGTTGTTATTTAATCTTCTAATATGAATATTGATGAAGTAATGTCGAGCAAGAAATAACATAAGTGAGAAATTGCATTAATGTCTCCTCAGTTCTTGTTGTCGATGTCATTGTATTGATGTGTCTGAAATACAATGTTTCTTTACGTTTTCCTGTGCACATAATAAGGTTTTGCTTTGATCCTTCCTCCTGTCTTCCATATTTGTTTGTTTTAAAGCTTTTACAACACAACAATATCAGTTGACCTTTTAAAGCAGTTTTTGATCATCGATGGAAAATACTACTCACCAATCTATTGATGACATTCTTATAAACTAATATGGAAAAACCTGAATGATGAGTTTGTTATTGCCTCGTGTCAATGGCAGTCTTGTTCTCTTCGTCGTAACATTATGTGAAAGCAAAACAACCAGATAAACATACTTTGTAAAAATTTATTTTATTTGTAGAGAAAAAAAGTCACATAGTATAAATAAAAGAAAGAACAATAATGCTAACATGGATACAAAGTTGAGATAAGGGTACCTGACAATTAATCAGCTTCCATTGTTTCATTTCACCTAGAACACAGACATTTTGTATGTCCTGACGCAGTATTTGATCCCTTTAACCCAGAATTAACAATTGTTCACTGTGCCTTCACTTATACTTTCTCAGAGACATTTTACGACCTGAAAGTCATAATAAAACATCTGTATTGTGCATGCTTTGTACCATTTCTGATCCATTTAGATATTCTTAACTAAATTCCTGAAGTTACGCTTGTTTAACTTATTCATATTCTATATACTCCCTATGATGAATATTTTATTCTTTACAAATTTTATAGCTTTAAAATAAAATACCAAATGAGGTAGAATTATAGATTTAGTCTCATTCACGTTACTTAAAAGAGTTACATAATTTTTGAACAATCTAAAAATACAAATTCCTTGTCATATTTGTTAACTGGAGGTCAAGAACAAGTTCATTTTCAACGTTGACATTCCTAGTTTCATAGCTATTTGATGACATGTCCAAGCAGTTACAGACCAGTTGGATTGTCATACGTCAGCAAACACGAAAATGACATTAACATTTTCCTGTAATTGAAAATATATATTTTAACAATTAGGCTGCTACAATAACTCGTTAGTGTGACGTCACAATACATCATTTTGCAATCCAAGTGCGTTTTGACGTCAAACTATCTGTTCAACCTCCATTTGTAGAGAAATTGTCATGAACAAATTCTTGGTTTGATAATGTACATTTTATTTTGTTTGAATTTACTCTTGCAATATAATATTTTGTCCTTTTGGAAAATTAACTTAGAAATAATAAAAACAACATGTTTTTTATGTAGTGATACATTTTGATATCATTACTAAACGTTTGTTCATGATCTTGACAAAATTAAAATCAGTCGATGAAACTTGTTTCATAATTATTATGAAATAATATTTAAACAGCATTAATATGTTTCCTACTAAACCAACCGTGATTAAACAAGAGGCCTAGGGGCCTTGACGTCACCTGAGATAAGCAATGTTGAATATAGAGATTAAAGGATAGTTATCAAGTTTCATGATACAGAAATTGTGATAATGAACAGACCATCAAAACTGTAATCAAAATTTCTTACAAAGTTATTTCTAGTGGGAAATAACCAACGTTATGTTCAAAAACGCAATTTTTGCAAGTAAAAAGAATCCTCCCCAGGCATAAATGTGATAATCATTTTGGTTATAAGATCACCTTAAGATGCTTCCATTATGAAGAGCATTTGATTCTACCATATGTGGGTCTTGAGAAGATGATATTTAAAAAAAATTAAGTCGTTGACCCTGTTGGCCCTGCCTATCAACCCCTAGAGTTGTGCCAAGATCAATATGGGCGTTCCATCACGCTGTCATCCTTAACTCATAATTCGAACGAAATATGAAAATATTTCCAATGGAAATTAAACAAATCATTCTCAAAAATCTAGTTTTCCTATATAAACTATAGTAAGGTTTACCCCCTCCCCACGGGGAAATGTGAGACCCTGGGACCATGAAATTCACAAATTTGGCGAAGCACCTTTAGACGCTTCAATTCATGAAGAGTTTTTTATTCTACTATTTCTGGGTCTTGAGAAAAAGATTTTTGAAATTTTAGTCAATTTGACCCCTTTTTGGCCCCGCCCCTCAGGCCCCATGGGGATAGGGACTGTATAATTCTCAGGGAAATTTCATTGAAATCGGATCTGGGTTTTTGAGAAGAAGACAAAAATCTTAAAATTGTTTACGGACGCATGACGCCGGATGAAGGTGATTGCAATAGGTCGTCATGATCGTTTAAAAAATGAACAAATTCCTATTAAAAAACAGTAATAACTGAATTCATTGGTCTTTCTGCCGTGTTATTGATTTCATTTAACACAGTAAATAATGACTGTATTTTCCGATATAGAACAAAAGTTTTCTATCGGTTATAAACTCTTATATTACCTGATCTTTTTTCTCTTTTTTTTTTCATGGAAACATTATGCATATACATAGCAAAAATATCACATAATCAAGTTAACATGTAAACAGATGAAATATTGGGCGAAAAAAATCCTTGCACCAATTGGACTGTGGTCCTGAAATTAATATTCACGATATGATGGTAGTACAAGATACAAAATGAATGTGAATACCTAAATTATCAAGTTTTATTAATTTAAAATATATTGATGTTAGAATGTTTGATTATATAAAATTCTTATTAAGCAAATATATTTTTGTTATTTTAATTGTTCATAGCGTCAACACCATGGACGTTACAATTCTTTATTTCTTTTAATATATCTTATCCACATCAAAAAGTCGTGTATTGTTTACAATATACTCCATTCCAATATGTTCTTTGAATGGTTATAAGCAAACCGGGTTTAAACTAAAAAAAGAACGTTTTGACATAATTTGGTGTAAAATAAAACCTGCACTTGAACCTAACATTTGGTTATAAGTATGTTTTCTGCAGGAAAAATATAACGCAAATAAATCCAGCACAACCAACTTCTACCAGCACAAGAAAGGCTTTAGTTTTAACATGCATTATATATATATGATTATATATATATATCAGTTTTTAAAAAGAAATAAAGAAAAAATATGTTCAATAATTGGTAAATTTACACCAATAATTGCACGATGTTGCGTTGTTTTCCCTCATTCATCTAAAATAACCTCTAATCAATGAGATCCTGGTCGTTTTATCATTCACATAATTGTCTTGGATTGAGATCAGATATCTAAAATGGTTTCTTCACGAGCATTGCGTCAAAATAGTTTGTTCCTTCCAATGTCCTTTTTTGGAAATTGATAAAACCATATTTGGCAAAAAGATTCTGGTACTCAGTGCCAGTGCGTTCCTGTCCCTTTGACATGACCGTCATGAGGAAGTCATTGGTGATAGCCAGTTCTGGTCCATCTCTTTCTTCACTGAGGACTTTCTCGAGAATAAGCATACTTCCGCCTGCAAGTTTTGAATTAGTAATTATTGAAAAAGATCAATAAATGTAATTTCTTTCTATGGAAAGATCTGATGAGAACGTCTTTGTGCTAAGGATAATTTAAAATCATTAATGTATTGATATAGTATTAAGGAAAGGCTAAAAATATCCAACGAAATAATATGTTGATTTACTTACCGGCTGGTAGACTGTCGTACACTTTGGTGAGTATTTGATCAAGAGATTGCGAGTTCCACATGTGAACGACGTGGCTAAGAATATACAGATCTCCGGGTGGGATATCATCTTCTAAGAAATTCCCTGATATGAAAAAATAGCATTAATCGTAACAAATTTTCTAAAATACTAAATGTTTATAATGTGTTTAAATGATATGACATCTGTTGTATGTTTAAAACAATACATTTAAGAACACTGACCAAAGCGAATTGTTTTATTCTATCTAAAAGAAACAATTTACATATACCCAAATATTATTTTAAAAAACTGCAATGTCAATGCCTATTAAAGCGTTCCCAGTTAAGGCCTTGGTTAGTATATTTGGACCAGGTTTATTCCTTATGGGGAAATATTTGCTACTTACCAGATTTAAAGGAGACTCTGTCTTTAGTACTGGCTGGTTGTAATTTTTCCGCCATTTGCGAGACTTGTGGGAGATCGAATACCGTTATTTCCATATTTGGGTACTCCCGCGATAACTCAAACGAGATCTGTCCCGAACCGCCTGAAGTAAAGAAACCAATATTGATATACTTAAAGAATAACTCGTTTAATTTTAACTTCATTTATTGAAAAAAATAGAAAAAAATCTGTGATATACATCAAAATAAACTCGTTCTTCCAGTTCATGTTGGCATGGATACCGTACCGATATTTCTACAAAACATTTCTGATATTTGACCTTCGGCGTCTGTCGGACGAAGGGATTATCAAGACACCCAAATTCTACCTACCGTTCTCGATTTTAGTTTATGATTTTGTATTTATTTATATTCTATGTATGTGATAAAGTTGACAATTCATTTGTCCTTACTGTCCCTATTACCTCATATATAAACAGGCGATTCATTTTCAAAACAGAACAAGTCTAGATATTGATTATGTAACTCAGAGTGGCCGCATTAGTTGACATCAGTGTAAATCTTAGTCGACAGAGTGACATCAGTGCAAACCTTAACCGACATAATTAACATCTGTGTAAATCATATTTGACTGAGATCAGTGTTAACAATGTTGTTAGTCAAAGGAATATCAATGTTCATATGTCTAAAAATACTCAAAGGTCAGTGCAAACATAGATGTAAATATTAAGTTTTTTTTTTAATGTGTATGGCGTGAGTTACAGTGTTTATCTCTGTTATCAGTGTAAACATACTGACTTACATATAATATGGAACAGCAATTGGACAACGAATAAACTGTCTTTAAATTATTAACCTTTAAATTGAATTAGAGAGATAGAACCTATATCTCATACTTCAAGTTCATTTCTGATACACTCGACAAATGTTTGTAAACAAATTGTTTTTGTTGATATGGTACAATAGTACAAGCTCTAACAATAACATACATTTCGCGTGTGTATATTCACCTACTCATCAACAATGTCGGTATTCAAAACTTAGTACCTGGGAACACGTATGTGTATCTGAGTTTTGTCGTCCTTAATCTCCAGACATATCATGTTCACCTTCTGACGTCAGTGTTGGCATGTGATAGCAAGATAATTTTGTTTCAAAACATTGTCATTATTGGGCAAGCATTGAATTACCTGCTCTCGTATTGACTCTTGTATCACGCCTATCATGAGTGTAAAATATTTCCCAAATTTGTGATCATAATATTTTGAATAGCATACCATTTTCTGGGGTTAAAAGTTAGAATGTTCACGTGCATCTGTGTTATAAACACACAATTTCATTGGTTAATGCGACACACAGAAGACCTAATGTATTGTAAACATACATAACCTTGACCTTCTGTACATGTTTGCACATAAATAATACTTTACTTTAGAATGACTGAATTTCACTTACATCATGAGACAATGATCTTTTTGACTTTGTTTTTCTTCAGATATGACAAGATAAGATATGTGTAAATTTCCCTACCAAAACTTTTTTTTGCGTCAAATTGATTGCTGAAGCGACTAGCCTTTAAGGCATTTAAAACTGAGCAGCCTACTTCCAACATGAAAAACCACCTGATCAACTATGGTTTCTCTTAAAAGTGGCAAAGAAAAATAATAACACTCAATATTGTTTGAGACTGTACAAATGTCACAAGTAAATATCACATTTTAAATACAAATTCAGAATTTGATACAATAGAACTAATTAATCATACAACACTTTCGTCCATCTAGAATTCGTCAGTGGTGCTAAGGTCCTCAATTTTTAAACTTAAGAGGCGACTGGGGAAAATCAAAGGTTATCGAATGAGTTATGTTTTGCTCTAAATCAATTTTTATTCAGACAATCATACCTCCGAGATCCACTGCGTCCCTGTGTGTACTTAAATCAAACGCACGTGCTATGGCATTGGTGCATGGTCCCGAGAAGCCATCATACGCACTCATCATCTTCACATGCATCATGCCTGCCATTGTATTGTTGTCAATGATCGGCTTTTTCTTCATGTCCATTGCAGACATTCCTTGTGGTAGAACTCCTTCCGTCATTTTGGGCATCATTGCAGGCATAGCAGGTACGTTTGGCATCATATTGGGAAGGTTACTTTGCATTTTATCCGGAAGCTGTTGTTTGGTATTGCTCTCTACGAGGTGTGGTTTATTAAGGCCTTTTGGTGGAATTTTAGGCATTTCCGGTGGTAAGTTGCCGTTTTCCTTTTCAATATTTTTGTTCTTATCAAGGTGAGGCTGACCTTAAGATGAAGAATAGTATAAAAATCAAAATCACACGACTTCAGATGTAAAGCTTGCAGAGTTTTTTAAAATATGAAATTAAACAACAAAGTATAGAAGTGTTTTTATCATTAAAATTCTTTCTTTGTTTTTATGTTTTGTGATTATCTGATAATGCAAATTAAAGACACTCAATTGTATTTACTTAAACTTACCTTTTTTTACAAACCATAGTGAGCTTTGACAGAAATGTTTTTTTTTTATAAAAAGATGTCTTGCTATACTTTCAAGGAAATAAACTTAGGTTTACCGGCTTTAAGAATCGTTGGAAACATGTCAAGCATTGGTAAAATGAAGTTGCTTTCCATCATTGATAGTCCAATAAGTGTTGGTTTGCGTGATCGTGTCAGGTATTTTGAAGTTCCAGCGGTATTACTGTACACGAAAATACCTGGAATTAAAAAGAAGTTTTGCGTAAAAAGCTCAAATAACATTAAGGATTTGCTGTCGTAAGAACTTTCCCATGTCTAGCCCTACTTGCTTCTCAAGCTTATGTTGTATTATTGGTGAGACGTTGAAGGACAAGAGGTCCTTGATTTCCATCTTGACCTTGCTGGCGACATTCTTTGTGTACGAAGATCATTGTGTCCAGTGATTCATATTATTGTCAGTATCGATAAAACCACGATTCTCAATCTAAGAACGTGATTTACTTGAATTTGAATTTACAAAATAGTCTCGATTATAAAGCCGTGGATGCTTACCCTATGGAGCAACTATTGCTTCAGAGGAGCTCAAAAGTCTGGTAATAAATGCCTTAAATTATATGTTTTCCAGGGTTGCTTGATCTTGTTGTTTAAATCATGAATCTGTAAACAGGTCGGGATAACTTGTGTGTTTGTAGCACTTTGACAGTGTAAATGCCAGCATTTACGTCACAATTGAATATTCATATATTGCACATTGAACTACCAATAAATGATTCAAAGATTGTAGGGATAAAGAAGAGGAAGAAAGACGTATATTTTATCATTCAACACGGTGTTTAGAAGGCAATCATAATCATACTATATAATAACAACAGGCAAACTTCATGCTGCAAATTTCTAGTATGATTATGTATAAAATATATCATATAGCTCTGTGGTTGTATTTGTGGTTATATTCATATTTCCGACATTATTGTAAGTGTTTGTATCGCTTCATCTAAATCAACAGCGTAGCATATTAAATGGAACAGTAGATAACAGATGCGTTGGTATGTTGTCATCATTTATACTATTAAATATGACGTGAGTAATCAACTGATGGTAATTATGATAGTGATAGTGTGTTATGTGATATTCAATACTGATGCACAAGTTAACAGACAAAGCTAACACCCTTACGTTGATTCTCACGATAAGACAAGTTAGTAACCGCTATCATAGCATGACGGAGACTTTACTTTAATAGTTAAATAGGTCACTTATAAAAACATCCAACACGTCTGGTGATGGTCTGGGTCGTCTGATTATGGTGTGGTCAAGTCTATCTCATTCAGTGACAAAGTTTGAAACGATTGACCTGAATGTTTTCCAACATTGATGTCACAGGTGTCTGGGTCAAATAGTCATTTCCGACATGTCTGTGCATCTGTGTGTATATCTCACTCTGTCTTCACGTCAATTCGAAATGCAAACGATGTTGATCACCCTTTGTTCATACTGTCACGTGATGTACATGCAGTTATGACACTAAGATCACTCTACTGTAATACTACATGTTTGTCACGTGAAAGTCATCTGTATATCTATAAACAGTAGGTATATGCTAGACGAACAAAGTGGACATGTGGAATTGTTTATATATGACTGTAGATAGCAGTAACGTTAGTCTAATCGAGAGGATGGTATTTGATTGTGGTTTGCAGTCAGGTCTAGGTTATTGAAGTCAATTTTGTTTATGCGTGTTTGCCTTGTTAGTCAATTGGTCATGTCTAGACTAGAGATGCGGACACTTTGTAGGTCTAGAAGTCAGGTTCAGATCAGAAACCTAGCGAATACCTATATGTCAACAAAATCTTAGCCAACACGTAATGTAAGTCGATCTGAATAACACAACGTTCTCCAAACGAGAACCGGTAACAACCAAGCCAGGAGGCATTCCATCAGCTGTCCTCATTTATTAACGGGTAAAACCCATTGAAAGTTGAATGGAGCCTGACATGAAAACTCAACAGGTTTGGCAAGCAGGTTATACACCATCTTATAAAATGCATAACTTTGATACAGCATCGTAAAATATTTTGTCCATGAGGGAAATTAAATTATACCAAATCTTTGACTTTTGAAAAAGAAATTTAAGATTTCATTCAGTATGATACATTTTGGCCCCGCCCAATAGTCAACATGTGCGTACAATCAAAAGTCCCATACTCATAATTCTAATAAAGTTCGATTTTGTCCAATAGAAATTAAACGAACTCTGGGTAAATGTATTTTATCGATATAAACTATAGTTAACTTTACGAGGAGAAAGTCAGACAATGAAGCTATTTAGTACAAACTTGCGGTAAAGCACCTGAAGATCGTTTGTGCCATCAAGAATACAGTGTTTGATTTCTCTGAATGTTGAAGAAACTTCAGTAAATTGAACCTTTTTGTTCCGTCCCTAATACTAATAGGTGTGGGGACCACATACCTCATGGCTTTGCTTCACCTTCGGCAACGGAAGGTTTCTAGAACAAATCATTGGTGAAGGTGTTTTGACACTTGACTTGCGGTGGAGGTAACAAAACGACGGACAAGAGGTAAAATTATACCATTAGCATTTTTCTAGACCTTGCCGTCAGGTTAGGACTGATATGAGGTCTGCTTGGAAAAGTCTAGGACGACAACAGACAAAGGATTAGGTCATACTCCTAATAGAATAACTTTGTGACATTTTATATCCGGTCACAATTATCCCAAACAATCAGGTCACAATGCATCACCTACTGTCTGACATATACCAGTATGTATGTGTTCATACCATCTGGATGACCATCACTCCTAAGAAAAACGTTAAAAGAACAAAATATTGTTTGTTGATACCCTAATGTATCAAGTAAACATCTTATCATCCGTAACACGGTCTGTTAAATGATTGTCAGCGAACCACTTCTAAGATTCGCCATTTAGTAAATTTTTATTTTTCGAACTGTAGGTTTTGCACTTTAAAACTAACAAATAAAACCGAAAATCCCAGACAAGGATACATTGCTGAAAAATATCCTTCTCACATGATCTGACCATGAACCTCCCATAATAATTGTTAAACTTTTATAGATTTACACCATTAAAAGAACCGCATGATGCAATCAGTTGTGAGGTTTTAATGTACACTTTATTTCACAATTACAACATTTGGTATTACAACGGAAAATGTTATAGACATTTGTGATCTAGCTTTCATATTGAATGCAAAGTTTTGATAAATTCGATACCATCCTAGCAGCTTTGAAAATCGTTGCACTGATTTAGATATACTCTAAAACGGCCTGACCTTTCCAGTATATAATTATATATAATATGACCTCGTTAAGAGACAGACAATGCTCTTGATTGCCCAGCTGTAAACTAGATAAAATGGTAGCTGACACTGGATACGTCTGACCTAACTACAGCTGCCATACGTAGGTCACAGCGGCTGGAAATGGGGAAAGTGCAAGCCTCCTTAAACGACCTTGTTTACTGTAAGATATATAGCCTTTTAAAATCTGTATTCGTGTCAGTCATGCGTAATGCTTTATGATGTAAATTTTCACGAGGTTTTATATAAGTAGTATATTCATCAACAGAGTTTACGAGCTAATAACACTACCATTAACCTGACGGTAGGGTAGTTCATTCATAAAGTCGGACTATCATTGATGTCCTGTGGTAACATCGTTAAAACATGTCTCCTTCACTTGATAAACTCAAGGAATTTGAAACATTCAGGTTATGAGAACATGTAAACATAGCGATTAATTTGGTCAAGGCCAAAATATTGTTTTAATATGAAGTCGTTTCTGCTTTTCAAAATGGAAAAACTGAAAACAAAAACACAAAATAGAAGTACCAATGAACATTTCAAATGAAGAGATACAATAACTGTATAATCTCACTTCTTATCTGATTTCTGGGGTAGGGGCACCTCCCATTAGGATTATGACATTTCTTTTGACCAGTTTTGATTTTCATCTTTCGTCTTCGAGGTTTCACGATTTAGGCCCAAATCCTACAAACGAAATAGCTGTATGGTTCATAGACATGCCATCAACACGTATTTTTTGTGACGAATAACTCGGCTAAACTCTCACACTTGTTTATCAACATGTATCCAAGAGAGCAAAGTCATAAAGCTCAATTTTATTTGTGAGTTTAGTATTCTGAAGACAGAGATCAATCTTAAAGGTGCAGCTCAATTCATTGTGTAGCTAACTTGTGTGTTATTGTTAATTTATATTGAAACGTGATATTCACACGGGTCTTGCATAAGATAACACACCACTGCAGTCCAGGTAATAGTGAAACGAAAGTTTGGATTTAATTATTGCAGAAAGTCTTAATTTGTAAAACTATGGTAACTTCTACACCATTTATGTTGACTTCTCGTGATATTTATCAAGACAGGTCAAGTCAAGTCGTTTGGTCAACATACTTAAAGAATAAGTTATAACTTCACTGAGCTTGTCGTGATGTTTTGTCGACAGGTCGACATAAATTAGGACAAACGTCGACTTCGTTTTACTAAATAACACGACTTGTCGCAATAATTTACCTAAAATTGTCATCATGCATGATCTTTTTAACTACCATTAGTACATATGATGCCTTTCTAAACGTTTATATCATGAGGTCAAAACAAGTTTCTACAATACATTAATGGCATTCATTGAAGTTATTGGTCTCGGATCTGAATTACGATATCTATATTTATGTCTAAAACAAAACCATTCATTCCGGGTACTTTGTTATAGAACAATTTTCATGTTTGAAGTCTTGAATAGGGAAAATTGAAATTTCTCTGTGTCATTTATGTAGGATGTAGTGTTTAATGTCTTAGTGAGGTATAACACTGTTGACAAACACTTCCACAGGTATCTCATCTCTGTGTAAGGCAATGTTTGTATGTATGGTATTATAGACATGTAACGGTGTGTCGATATTTTATTGTAGCTATTGTTTTGACGGGAGTAGCAAAAACAAAATTCGCTTTTGTCCAAGAATCTATATAAATATGTTTTTGACACATTGCTCTAAACTTGAATATCAAAACATCGATGCCGCCATTTTTTTTACTCATTACAACGTAATGTCGTTGCACCGTTTCCTCATTAATGTAGACCTGATACATAAATATACTAGTCAAATGAAGTAGCTTTCAATTCGCAAAAACTTTATTGTGATTTTTAAAAAAAAAAGGCTCTGTGAGAGGGTATTATCGCATTGAGAAATCGAAATACGAAGTAAACAGATGTACACAATCGATCATTTTAACAACCGTGATGGGTTGATAAAGTCTCTTTCATAAACATTCGTGTAGCTCCTTCTGATGGCTGTATGAAAGGATTTCCCTACCTTTGTTGTTCGTGGTTTTCTCCAGGAGTCTGAAGCTAACCAATGTATCCAGCAATTTTACGGTGAGTTTTGGCTCAAAATTATGCTTCTTAGCAAAAACTTCAGCTGTGCATGGTTCGCCATGAGATTCCAGATTATCGAATACTCCAGCCTCAATGCATTGTTGCATTATCTGCAGAAGTCAGATATAAAATTCATATCATAAATCAGTGATATTAAAAAACAACGTATATATGAAAGGTAGTTGTAATAATAACCAAGTGATTTAGCAACTCCACAGTCCGTTATTTATATAGTATAAGTTAGCAAGCATTCACTAATCTCAATTCATAAATAGGGTATATTTATATGCATATATATATATATCGTTGTGCAATATGCAGAGTATGGATGTTGATTCTTATGAAACGACACGTGTAAAGAACACACCGAATATCACCGCTTCAGTCAGAGATCTAAGCACATGCACTTGATTTTCCATCAACCCTACTCCGTTGTAGCACACTTCAGAATTGGCGACTTAAAAATAGATTCAACCAATAACATCGCATCTAAATGATTGCTAAATTTTCTCAGCAGTATTTTTTAAAATTTAATTTTCATATTCATAAAGGGTTTTAACATTTTCCTTGTTTGAGTTTATAGTGCAAACCCAACGGGGCCATTTGTTTACATATACAACTATTCTGACTTTGTGCCATTTTCTCAGCAGAGTTGTTTTTTTCAAATGATTTTCATATTCATAGAGAGTAGAACATTTGCATGGTTTCAGTTTACAGTGTAAACCCAACAGGACCATTTGTTTACATAAACAACTTTATGTACCTTGTACTATTTTAGACATTCGCTATCGTACAGGTAAGCGTTTGTTGATCCTCGGTAAACACTTAGCTACACTGTAGGCACATGTCAGTGTTACAAATTATTATCTAATTAGCTAAACTTAATGCGTCACATTAATGTGTATGTATACTTGATGTTAAAGTATACATAAAAAACCGACCGAAATTTAATTGATATCTGTAGATTTAAAATCTTATTACATTTAATACAAATTATCAGTAATAATTGCTCGTTAGATCAATGTCTACATGTATTGGTGAGATACACCACAAGTTCATCATACTTCCTCATAAATATAGTTAACACATTGATACGTAATGTAGAAAATAGATTAAGTTACCTTGTAACGTGTGGCGCCGGCGATGATTTCGACGATGACATTTGCCGACTCATCTGATTTCAGCATGTCACTGTTAAAACAAGGTGAATCCATTTTATAATTTTAGATTCTTTGAGAATTGATGCAAAACCAACTGGTTCAGAAGTTTCTCCGGCTCTGGTTTGTTACTATACCGCCGGCAACCGTCTGACAGCTGATTGCCAGCTGATCGCTCTTTTTATATTACTTCTTGCCGAAAGTAGGTCGTCGTCGAGAAGCGCGTACCGCTTACCTACATACTAGCCAATCCGCAAACAGTATACGTTCATTCACAGACGAGATTTTATTGTTTGATTTAATATATGTATGTCTCATTTGCATATTTTTGCGGTTATTCACGTGAATTGTTTTCCTGTATATCTATTAGGTCGCATGCGTGCTAGGAGAAATGTCAGTCAGTTACAAGTGACGTACACAAAGATAATATATATCTACATATATCGGACGCCTCCCTCAGTGCTCACTGAAAATCCGGTCATTCTTCATTAACATATATATTGGTTAGCCGGCAAGTCAAGGCCGTATCATTTTGTATACATTCTTCGTAAGCATAAATGACCACTGAAAATCAGCTGATCGCGTGTCTGTAAATACAGTATGTCCTATTTATATCTATACGATGTATCAAAGTGGGTTTCATTGCTCTGATGTATATACACAAACATTTCACGGTAAATGTAGAAAGTGATACTTATCACAAATACAATTCACAATTAAAATAGAAAGATTTGATTAATATCGATCAAATAATTGATATAATTGATATTGATCACAATAATATTGAATCCATGATTCATGTAAAAAAAAGTTAAATAATCAATATTGATCATAGGAGAGAATATGATAATTAATATGGATCTAAAAAAAACTAGAAAACTTGGTCGTTAGATACCATCCTGGTATACAATTCCGTTAGAACCTTTCATGATGCCACCTGTAACGTACAGAGGAAGGTCATGAGTTCATTCCCTGTCCTATACTATAACAGGCAGTTTGACCTCTTTATCCCAAGGAATAATTTGCCTGTGCCAGTCTGACTGAGATACCCGACACCTTATTTCCCAATTAACTGGGTTTCTTTTGATACCACCTGTAACGTGCACAGTAAGGCCGGTAGTCCGTTCTATTTACCTGTAAATGACAGTATCGATATGCATTAAACCCATTCTAGTCGCTCCCGTATACCGCACAAGTAGTTAAATTGTTATGCCTCACTTGATATATTGGTCATTAAGTTGAAATGTACAAGAAGAGCATACAAAGGGGATATTACGGTAGGATATCAAGAGTGGTAATATGTCTGATTTCAGTAGACAAATATGGTAAGACTAGTTTCATTAGACAAATATGGTAAAATGAATGTCTGCTGTCAGTAGACATATGTGGTAACACGTCTTATTTCCTTAGACAAATATAGCAAGACGTATACTGTCATAAGACAAATATGGTAAGACGTCTGATTTAAGTAGAAAAATATGATAAGACGTCTTATTTCTGACCAACATAACTATATTATTTCATTAAAGAATCATGGTTAGCTTTAAGATTTGTCATATTTTTTCAACAGAGAGTGGTTAGATATCTCGTTCTAAGAGACGAAATAGTGTATGTGTCTTCTTTTACAGGAGAAAATATGGCAATATGCTTTCATTAATAGCGATAATATCTCGAATGTTTATTTCATCTTGCTTTTTATTTCATTTACCAATTCTTTGCCTTTTGTTGATAGTTACATACCGGCTTAATAATACTACAGTGTATGATTGGATATCCAATGACATGTTTCCAATATAAAAATTGACATTCGCAATCGAGTGCTATCGGACAAGCAAAAACACATGGTTTCGAATTCTCTATACTGATGAAGCATGCTGGATATTGGAATGTTCGTATTATGTTTATTGTTCATTTGGAAAATAGGAAAGGTCTCTGATCCCTCTATCCCTTTTTGTGTTTATGGTTCAAATAATGTTATTGAAATTCCAATCTCTAAATAAACGAGCACTGATATATACTAACTTTTATATGTCATAAATAGAGGGTAGTTAGTTATCAAAATAGGTTTTGTACTACAAAACGAATTCCACCAGCTATCCCGGTGATGCACCCGCATAATTTCCCGTTGTTATTTCAAGTATTTTAGTGACATAACATATATTTGTGTGTATTGTTACATATGCACCATCATGTAATGGCTATATTTTGTTTGTATTCAGACTTGCAATGTCATGAATCAACAAAGAATGTGGCTGAGAAAGTGTCTGTCTTGAATATTGTTTTTACTACATATAGAGCAGTTTTATGTAGATCGTTCAATCACGCAATATTTACAATAACATGTATTATCGCACTGTGATACTACTTCTTCTTGTGAATTTTGTTTTTCTCTGCCGAATTAGAGTAAAAGCAGAGAAAAGTATTTTACAAAATGTAAAACTTAACTTCATAATAGATAAACTGGAAGAAAGACAAGACGAGCTTGTTTAACCAAAGCGATGGAACAATGTGATAGCAATATAGAGTACACAATAAATATAAACTACCATTAGGACCGCACAATAGCAGTAATGACATTACCAACTATATGTACAAAAGCCGTCTTGTCCCACAAGGCAGCTGTCAAATTCATAAAATCAAAAAAAAAATAACGATTTCTGCATAAATTTTTCCAGTATTACATTTGTAAAATATATCAGGTTCTAGTTACCCCAAATGAACGAAGGTCGATATAATTTATTAAAGTATGTAGTATTAATTTAGATTTATAAATAGCATTATTGATATTAAATATTATAAATATATATGTTTGCCATATTCTTATGTCAGGTATAGTGGGACGTCCTCATTCTTCAACTGTAGATCAAGTAACTTATCTTCACAAATATCTTGTGAGTTGATTATTGATGATAAACACAGCTAAAGTATAATGTTTAGATAGATAGATGGAATCATGCACGTTTTGACACTAAATGAAATACTCACGACAACAGATATACCGGAAGTCAAAATTAGTAGCATTATTTACTTAGTTATTGACAGCAACGACGAAAAGAATCGTATCAACAACTTACTTCTAACATGGTCTTATAGTTCCCTAACAGAGTAAAACAAGCATGAGAAGTTTACAACGTCATCAGAGAATTCATTCAACAAAAACTAGGATACTATTTTTCACCGTTTTTAATCCCACTTCAAACGGTTTTAGAATCAGTAAATTAACCATAGTTGTTAGTGGTATACCTGGTTCCCTTAACCCAAGTTCTAATGAAACATATATGTTGACTGTAGCCGCCTACTCCCACCCACGATCTGGAACTTTCCCAAGCGCGATGCAGAAATAATTCTGTTTGTGGAATAAAACATGTGTAATAAATCTACTTAGATATCACTCGATATTGTGTGTAATCAATATATTCCTATTTCCCCCAATTTCATCGCATTCGTTGTACCTAGTTTTCTCGTACAATTTGGTAATTATTTCTATTACAGATACGATTAGGCGATTTATATCATATCTTTCAATAGATAGCATTTTATAGATTTTGTTTTTACTGTAATAGATGAACAGAATTTATTTTTTATTATTTCTTTTATTTTTGAAAAGTTTAATAATTTTTACAGATACTGACATCTACATGTGCAACACACTTTCCCATGCATCATCATCATGATGAATAGATTCTACCATGTTGTCAATAAGTTTGACCTTGATTGACGTGTTTCTATTTAAAGACCCTGACCCTAAAGAGTAGATCTTGCTCATCAAATATTTTCAGGCAGTGTACACCTTGGTCTTCTATCTGTGACCTTGTGGTAAGCGCTATACTTAACTAGTCGATAAACATTCTCAGTAAGCACTTGGTTCCTCGCGCTCCGCTCACTGTCCTAATTACTGACCATGACTTACCAGTATGACCAAACATACTTTGTGGTTAGTACATATGTACGTATCAATGTAGTTGAGTGGGACGAGTCCTCGTATACCTGCATCAAATAACATACCACACATTTATATATATACATATATATAGAAGAAAGTTTTATATCCGCAGTGTCTGGTTCGTATCTTTTGCTTTGTTATCAAAAGTGTTTCCAATTTTATTATTTTCCCTTATAAAGACAGGTGACAACCATTTTTTGTTTTGCATAACTTTGTAAAATAATACAGAAACAAAAAAAAAAACCCTTTCATCTGACTCTACTTTATACAACAATACGTTGTATGACTGACAATTCACTGTCAATGTTTTTCTTTCCTGGACAAGTCATAACAAGTGTTTTGGAATTAAAGGAGCCACCTGTTTCATTGACAACATTCTCGCAAATCTATGCGAAGTTCAAATGTAGCCACATCCTGGAAATAGTTACAATGAGTCACTATCAAGAAAAGAAAAGTTCACGATGATATAGGTGTAAGCCATTTCGCATACCGATATACCGAAGAGCGGAGTCCGAGTAATAACACAATGGAAGATTTTCGTGAAGATTGAGGATGCATAGCAATCTGATGTGTACACTTACGTATTCATATACACGTTGTGTGACATGAAGCTGGACGTGTTTGATGTTCGTTAGTTTGCCTGCTGGTTCGGTTGTTGTTTATTTGCTCTCATTAAAGAGCATGACATTACTTACTTACTTATTGACCACGGTTTACATGGCGGGTTTCATCAATGAAGCAGAAAACGCTGCTTTTCCAGAACACCTCATCTTATTCTCCTTTTACATCTTCACGAGTTTCCGTGTAAATCTTCATTTTGTTCATGTCCTGCCCTAGTTTTATGGAATTTGAGTTGGAATTATGATTATGTTACTATGTTGCTATTTACTTGATTATTTTACGTACACTCATTAACGATATTATGAAATGATTTTGTACAAATAGATAATAACTATGAATTATGTCTTTTAACAAATAATGTTTCTTCAGGTTTCAAATCTAGTTCCATTTCAAAGCAGGAAATGTAATAGATTTTGTTATTTATTGCATTTGGTGCCCTTCTTGGGTTTGAAGTTGTGGATACTTCTCCTATTGGGATAATTATTCTGAAATCTGAATGAATAAATCGTACTCTGTCTTTGCTTCTGATCTGTTGTGGTCAATTAGTAAATCACGAAGTGTCTCCT